CATTTTCGACTTAAGAGAATGGCTAAAGAAATGGAAACTCATGGCATCTCACGGAATTGCCATTTGTTTGTCCTTTTTTTTTTGTTTCTAGTGCCCCTTTTCCGATTTTCCTGTTGTGCAATTTACTTTCATCAGCCGTCTGTCTCGAAAAAAATCAAAACAGTGTAAGGAAATTTGCTCAACTTAGCTGCGCATCATTTAACTTTGAGCAAAAACGAGCAGAGTGGATTACACACATGAAAGGGCATACAAAAAGATACTCGGTATCTGTATCTTTTTGAGTAGAGCACTGGGGAGGGTTAACAAGGAGTAATCGAAACCCGTCAAAATGGCAAACACAACAATGCCTCTTAGAAACGAGCTGAAAAGGAGGGAAGGTCCTTAAGCACATTACACGATCGCCCAAGATACACACATGTGTATCTGTATCCGTATCTGAAGGATCAGCTGCCTCCTCTTTATTTTCCAGATTATTATTAGCGCAACATTAACGTCAAATTACGCATCTATTTTGCGCACTTTATCTCGATCTCCCTATATGCCACACATCCCATAAAAAGCGGTGCAACATCAAAAAAGTGGGGATTAACCATTGGGATTACTTCTCCTGGACCTTGCGTGTGTGTTTCTATGTTTTTTCCTTGTTTTTCTAGGTGGTCAGTGCAGCATCTTTGGGTAAATGTGCGCAGGTGTGGGAATATGTGTCTTCGAGATACAGATACAAGTACGGTAGCCCGCCGATGTGGGGAATTGATTTACCTAATGAGGCATTCTGGCGGATATCTGGGAAATCTTTGAATAATCTCCATATGTTATTCTCTTTTTATATTTTAAGGGAATTTTTTTTTTTGTAAATAGCATTTTTTTTACGTTTTCTTGCAGTTTCAAAAGTTGGATACAAGGTTTTTTAAGTTTTATCGACTACAACTTAAAAAAAAATTAATTTAACCAAGGAAATCTTTTGAAATGGGCGAGGGTATATTGACAATTTTCCCGACACCAAACATCAAATTTAATCCTTAAGGAAACTCCGCCACCTGACGCAACTCCCACAAGTGGAAAGTCGGGGGAAAACTACTTTTCTCGGAGGCGTGAATGCGTGACAATAATTAAAAGATCTGCAATGCAAACAACGCAAATGGAATGAAAACAGGGTCGCAGGCCGAAAACTAATAGCAAAAGCAAATTTACCACCCTCCCAACCGCCCAACCTGCCACGCCCCCGACTTGAAATGCGCACGCAAATGTTTGTCTGTTTGCCTGTCTATTTGTTTGTTTGTTTGTTTGTTGATTGAGACGGCTTTGATTTGCGCTGAGCTGATTTTGATGTGCAGCCAAGGGGGCAATAGGCTTTTCCAGGGGTGGCGATGGGCTAAGAGGCGTGGGGGAGGGGGAGGTGGAGGTGGAGGATGGGGAGAAGGAGAGGGGAGGTGTGTTGGCTAAGACAAGTGCGCTGGTGTTTGCGAAGCCGTTGTGTGCATAAGCAACGGCGATTATTGACACACCGCCAGCGATGCCACAGGTACAGTGATCATTCGAAAACCAAAAATACAGTTACAAGTATTTGAAATTGTATAAGGCACTTTAAAAGCACTAAAACTAAGAGGAATTTAAATCGACCTACTTTAATATTTAATAAATGGATATCCGAAGTATTTTACAGACGTTCTACTGTACGCCCCACCCCACAATAATGCAAATCGAACTGCAGCGAGTAATTTTCCGAAAAGGTAAGGTCCGGAAAGTCTCGAAATCTCCACTCCCCCCGTCATTTGTCGTTTTTCGCTGGCCAAAAAAACCCTTTTCAATCCGGTCGTGCGTGAAATTTAATCAAAGCAAGACTCAACCCCACAAAACCCCCCTTTTCCCTCTGCGTACCACCATGTAAGCCATCAATGTGGCCAACAGTTTTCGGTGTCCCAAAAGTAGACGACATACAAACAACCGGAAATGTTGCACATTTGTAACTCTAGCACACTTTTCCAGAAGGAAATCAAGTGGGGAAATCGTAGAGAAGGGGAAAAGGGGTCGCCGGAGTGAACGTGAAAGTTTTCCATCCGCAGCAAGTGCAAATTTCTGTCAATTGTTGTAAATGGAGTTTCCTTTTTCCCCTAAACAGAAATTTGTTGTACAAAAACACGAAACATTTTTTTCCTAGTTAAAGTTATTTAAGCCAAGTTCCTTAAAAAGTCTGTCCTTTGATAAAATTTTATTTTGATCAACTTAAATTATATTTACGTAAGATTATGGATATATGTACAGTGACGAACATAATTATTGGCACAGTTGGCTTGTTCAACTTTGAGGCTCAGTTTCTCCTCTTAAAATGGGGATATTTACATAAAACAAAATTTATTTACATAATATAATTAATTAACAACACAACCCAGTTTATTTTAATATTTTACATCTTATAGTTAATTTTTAAAATTAAAATAACGAAAACAAGTGCCGAATCTTCCTGAACAAAATTATTGGCACACTTGCTTTTAATTTGAAATGTTGGCACAATTTAACCGATTTGGCCAGTTTTTTTTTGTTTAACACATTTATTATTATCCCCTGAGTGGTATGGTATAACTTTTTCCAGCTAAAAGTATCAAATTGCCTTTTTTTTAACCTTTTTTTTTTCATAAAATAAGGGGTAAACATAAAAACTCTACATTATCGGACCGGAAAATTATTTGGAGTTTCCACAATCTTGGAAAGTTATATGGTGAGATCGGAGAAATGATAGACAGAAGCCACTAAACCATTACAAGCATCGGGCAGCGTTTTAAGGGCGCCTAATCCTTGAAAAGTGATCAGCGCACAGGTTGACTCAAGGCTTTAGCGACCTTTTGGGTACTTTTTTGGAGGTTTCCTTTAAGAATATCGAAATATTATTTTTTCCCATGATTCCTTCTATAAACTCGAACTCGTCGACACCTGCAGTGGACTTGCAGCCCCACACCATGACGCCTCCAACACCATGCTTAACTGACATATCAGGGTTTTTGTTTAGGAGTTTTATATAAGGCTTTTTTCAAACAGTTTGGCGACCGGCAGATTGGAAAATATTAAATTTTTTTTTGTCCGAAAAGATGACATTAGCCCAAAAATCAACTGGCTACTTCAAATTCTCTTTTGCATAGTCCAATCGCTTCTGTTTGTTGACTTTAGAAATAAGCGGTTTCCTTTTTGCGACCCGATACCTATAGTTAGCTCTATGCAGTGTCCTCCGAACCGTAATGGGGAGAAATTTTTTCAAAAACTGTTCTCTCACCTCATCTACAATCTTTGTTAATGAAATTTTCGGGTTATCTTTCACTTGTTCTATGATTTTGGCCCGCTTCCAGTCACTTAAAGCCTTGAGTCAACCTGTGCGCTGATCACTTTTCAAGGATTAGGCGCCCTTAAAACGCTGCCCGATGCTTGTAATGGTTTAGTGGCTTCTGTCTATCATTTCTCCGATCTCACCATATAACTTTCCAAGATTGTGGAAACTCCAAATTATTTTCCGGTCCGATAATGTAGAGTTTTTATGTTTACCCCTTATTTTATGAAAAAAAAGGTTAAAAAAAAGGCAATTTGATACTTTTAGCTGGAAAAAGTTATACCATACCACTCAGGGGATAATAATAAATGTGTTAAACAAAAAAAAACTGGCCAAATCGGTTAAATTGTGCCAACATTTCAAATTAAAAGCAAGTGTGCCAATAATTTTGTTCAGGAAGATTCGGCACTTGTTTTCGTTATTTTAATTTTAAAAATTAACTATAAGATGTAAAATATTAAAATAAACTGGGTTGTGTTGTTAATTAATTATATTATGTAAATAAATTTTGTTTTATGTAAATATCCCCATTTTAAGAGGAGAAACTGAGCCTCAAAGTTGAACAAGCCAACTGTGCCAATAATTATGTTCGTCACTGTACATAGTACATACATACATGTAAGACTTAGAAAAATCGAAATATATTTTACTCCGCAGATTTGTTGTCCACTTTTATATCTCTGGCGCCCACTTAGCATTGTTGCCTCCACCGGTGCTTATCGATATTCCCTTTTTGCGAACAGCAGAAACAAAACAGCTGAACCGCAACAAGAAAGAGCGAAAAAGAATTTAAATAAACGATAAGAAGAGGCAACGAAAGGCAGCGCAAAAGCACGTTTATTTATAAATCGCATAAAAAAACGAATAGAACACAAAAGCAAAAAGCCCCAAAACAACAACAAGTGACCATTGTCTTTGCCTTGCACCCGGCAACAAAAACACATTTCAGTTCTTATTCTCTCGCTCTCCCGCTCTCACAGTTTGTTTTCATCGAAAGATTCGCGGTCGCCGTCACGTGGAGCGTCGGCAGTGACGCCGACAGAGCCAGTGACGGATTCAGTTGTTGCTGTTGCTGCTAACGCAGTTTCGCTTTTAATCGTCACTTTTATTTGCGGTCTACTTTGTGCTTTGGCATCTTTTCGTCACCTACAGTGGGATAATCCATACGAGGTTGCCCCAAATTAAGGTTCATAAAAATTGGTCTTAGACCCTTTTTTTTTGAAGCTTTTTCCCAAGGCTTGGTAGTTTTAAAGATAAAATTGCACTTAAGTGACTTTTGCTCAAAATGGATGAAAAATACTATAAATTCATATATGTATGTAGGAATTGGCGTTTGCAATTAAAAAGTTTGTGGTAACATAGACGTTGGGGCGTAAGCGGGGAGATTTAGTTACCGGGGCGCCAAGATTTGAGGACTCTCAATGATTTTGCTAACTAAAAAATCCTAGTACCAAAATTGCATATATTAGTTGGCTATTTCTACACTGCGTCCCACTGTGCGAAACATGACTGTTCAAATACTTTGCCAAGCTCTCTTTTTGCACTCTCTATCTCGCTGAAAGAACTCTTCCTCTCTCTCGCTCTCTGTTGTTTGCGCTGCCTCCCGCAAACTTGCGGTTAATAAAGCAAAAACACAACAAAAAAAACAACAGAGATGGGGGCGTCGTCGTTGCTCTGCCGGCGTCGCTGCCTTCGTGGGCTTTTGGACGACGACGTCTCGTCATTTAAAAAGCGTCGTTTGGTGGAGCTAGCTAGCGATTTTATTTTTATATCGTTTTAGGTTTATTATTTGTAACTTGAATTTTGTAAATCATAGTTCGCGGTTTTTTTCGCATTTACGCAAGTTTCTTTTCCTTAGCTTTCGTGCTGTGTCTCTCTCGCTGCTCTCTTTTCGTGTTCTTGTTCTTTCCGTTCGGCGTGGCTTTTTCTTCCTCTTCTTTCATTTGTTGACGTCGCGTTGTTGTGCATTTAATTCTTAATTTTTGTCTGTTCTTACTGTTTTTTTGACATAATTTTTTTATAGTTGTCGTTTAAATGTGATATAATTTGTTAAGTATTTATTTATAAATCGCGCGGCGAATTAAAATAAGAAAATTGAAGAAAACGAGGATTGCTGAGCAAACAACAACAAAAGGCAAAGAAGAGAGCAATAAAAGGAGCTGCAAAAACAAAAGGCAAAGAGAAACAACAAATAACGGCAAAAGCAGAGTAGCGGCAAATAGGCAAAAAACAAAGAAAAAAAGCTAAAGCCGAAACAACAACCACCAAAAAAAGAGAAAAGCAACATTTTTATAAAACCGATTAGATAAAATAGAACTTTTACTAATTGTACAAAAGCAACAACGATAACAAAATATAGGAAGAAATATACAATTGAAAATCAGTTCAACCGAAAAACAAAAATCTGACGATCTTCACTTAAACAAAAGAAGAAACAATAAAAAGAGAAAAAGAAACAAAGTTAAACGAAAAATTCCGGAGGACTACACAAAAAAGCCGATGAATTTAAAAAGATCTCTAAACATTAAAACATGCAAAACATCACAAAATAAAAATATTCTTTGCAAATAAAAAGTAAAGTTGAAAAAAACAAAACAAAAAATTAAATTAAATTAAAAACAAAACTTATAAATTTAAAAAGACAATAATCAAACGATCTTCCATGAAATAAAAAATAAATAAATACTTAAACTGTCATGCAATACTACCATACTTAAATATACTGCATTTAAATGTAAGCAACAGTAAAGTTTAATAAATATAATTTAGACAAACATAATTTATAAAGGAACCCCAACTAAACAAAAACAAAAACTTTTAAATAAAAAAAAACGGCGATAAATCTGCGAAATAAAGCTTTACTACATCGGATTTCAAATCGGGCCCAAAAGTTGAAATGGTTTACTCCACGAATATTCTGCTGGCAATTGTGACGATCCTGACTGGCATTTTTATCTGGTCTCGTCGCACATATGTTTATTGGCAGCGTCGCAGAGTGAAGTTTGTCCAGCCGACCCACTTGTTGGGGAATTTGAGCCGAGTCCTACGACTCGAGGAGTCCTTTGCCCTGCAGCTGCGCCGCTTCTACTTCGACGAACGTTTCCGGAATGAACCTGTGGTGGGGATCTACCTGTTCCACCAGCCAGCACTCCTCATTCGCGATCTTCAGCTAGTGCGAACCGTTTTGGTCGAGGATTTCGTCAGCTTTTCAAACCGATTTGCCAAATGCGATGGGCGCAGCGATAAAATGGGCGCCCTATCGCTTTTCCTGGCCAAACAACCCGAGTGGCGTGAGATCCGCACCCGCTTGGCACCCGCCTTCGCAGGTGCCAAACTAAAACAGATGTTTTCGCTGATGGAAGAGGTGAGTCATCCAAACAGTCAGTCCAAATGTTCGCTACACCGGTCTACAAAGTTTTAAGGCGAAAATATCATTCACAAAACTATTACAGCAAAATACTCCTATACAACATATAAATCAAAGCAAGATTGTGGTCCGATATCTATAATATTTATTTGGACACTAGGTTTTGCGTATAATATATAAATGTACTTAGAGAGAATTCGTGTCGTTGGGCGGCTGATAAAGGAAAGCCCCTTCAAAAGAAGTCTGTTCTTATCGAACCAGACAGTTCATTAACGACTTACTTCATTGACAGTTAATCTTATCAAAGGTCAACAAATATAGCTCAAAGGTATTGCATTTTTTTCCCAATATTTTGTTGCCTAGTAAAACCAAAAGTTATATGCAAATCGAGAGTCTCAAACACGAATCGAAACAAAACAAAATTACTAATCATTCTGATAATGCAAATTCTCATCACAAAGCTAAACGTTTGGCAAAACCACGTATTACTAATTAGTGTTTGGATTCTGAGTTTAATCTTGACATATGTTTGCTATGTTTTTTGTTTCTTGGTAGATTTTCAAGGGGTAAAATAGGTTAATTTGAATTTAAAACTCACAGATGCTCCATTCTGTGATAGATTTTTAACCGAACTTGGATGGGTAGAACATGTCTGCATAAATGGTTTATTTTGTTTTTTTTTTACTCTGCTATCTCTTTGGGATATATCCTGGTCATATATCTCTAGATCGGCTGCGATTTGGAGTGGTATCTCAAACGTTTGACCCGAGATTTACGACGCGGAGACGCCGAGCGTGGGGCAATTGTGAGCATCAAGGATGTCTGTGATCTATATAATACCGATATGATAGCCAGCATCGCCTTCGGCCTGAGATCTTATAGCTTGAGGAGCACGCAATCGGAGATCGGTTCACATTGTCAGGATCTATTTCGGCCGAATGTCCGTCGAATAATAGACTTGTTTGTGATCTTTTACCTGCCAAAATTGGTGCCGCTGCTGCGGCCCAAACTTTTTACGGAGCCGCATGCGGAATTCCTGCGCCGTGTCATCCAGCTGGTGATCGAGGAGCGGGAACGCGGTGGCGACCTGCGCAATGATCTCATCGAGATGCTGTTAACGCTGAAAAAGGAAGCGGATCTGCAGCAGGACAAGTCGCATTTCACGCACCATCGCGACTTTTTGGCCGCCCAGGCGGCATCTTTTGAGCTAGCGGGCATCGAAACCTGTTCCTCTAGCATGTCCTTTGCCCTCTACGAGCTGGCCAAACAGCCGCTGATGCAATCCCGTTTGCGTCGCGAAATACGCGAGGCGTTCGCCGACAATCCCAATGGGAAACTCACCTACGAGGCCATCGCCCGAATGGAGTTCCTCGACATGGTCGTGGAGGAAACGCTGCGAAAGTATCCGATTGTGCCGCTCCTCGAGCGCGAGTGCACGCCGATCAACAAGAAGCGGTTCTACTCGTTGAGGCCGCATGCCGAGTGCTACGCCCGCCGTGGCATGCCCGTGTTCATATCCAATCTGGCCATACACCATGATCCCAAGGTGAGTTATTGGCGATTTTGATATACGTATATCAAAGGAATTAAAGATATTTTTCAGTTTTCTAATGTCAGAAAATGTTCACTGATGATAGAAATTTACTCATTTTGATGGTTTACTATATGTTATTTACTTTCTTTTTTAAGTACTGGCCGGATCCCGAACGCTTCGATCCAGAACGCTTTAGTCCTGTGAACAAGGCGCTGCACACACCCATGTCGTACTTGCCTTTTGGAGCCGGACCGCACAACTGCATTGGGGTGCATATTGGATTGCTGCAGATAAAGCTCGGCCTAGTCTTCTTCTTGCATCGCCACCGCGTCGAGATTTGTGATCGCACTGTGGAGCGGATTCGATTCGACGCCAAATTCGCGCTGCTGGCCAGCGAGCAACGCATTTACCTCAAGGTCGACTGTTTATAGCCACCGATCCCCATCCGCCCATCGCCACCGCCATCCGATATCAGCAGCATTATTTTATGGAGCGGGAGCACGGCCCCCATCGTCATTGTAAATACTTTGGCCTGCCTCAAATAAACTTTGCTACGAACTTTTTTTTTAAATACCAATTAATCTGTGTTCTTAATCTTGAGGGAGGGCATAAAGTAATAATTATATACTGATCTGTTTTATTTATTATGCTATGAGCTGTATATTTAAGAAGAATATGTATACTAGTTCCATTTTTCGTCGAATCTTAAATAATTTTTAGGCAATTTTTCATCCGTCATTTTTGAAGTAGTTTAAAGTATTTATTTTGCTCCATAAACCCATTTCATGGGATTATTTCGACTCTATCTGGTTTGTCATTAGTGTAAAGGTGAGCGGGAGCAGTGCCCTCAGTCGTCTGGTGAACTGCTTTTAGTATTTATTTCTCCACATGCCATTTCAGCAAAGTTTTATTTAATATTTATTGGCAGGGGGTCGACGGGGAGGGGCTCGTTGCGATTCGTTCCGTTCCGCTGATAACTTATCAGTCCGCGGGTCGGAGAGGCCTTTGCCCGGTGGCCTGATCATTGCGATTCGGATTCGGTTGGGCATTTCGGTCGCGGATCCGAAGGTGCGGTTGACTACGTCATCATCAGGTTTCCGGGCGTCTAGAGTTTGAGCTAAATAGGGTGGACCCTGTCTGTAGGGAAATATTTATTATCAAAAGGTAATAAATTGAACTCCTGTATTCAGATAGTGCCTATCTAACGCAATGAACTAGAGTCTCAAAGTCGAGTAAATAACAATTAATGTTATGAAACCAAGTTAGGAATCTTAGCATCAAAGGTGGACCAACCAGTTGCAGTTCCCCCGCAAAGCTTAAAGTTCAAGTTCAAACCTCAAACGATCTTCTGACTTTCGTGCGAAACCGGTCGAGAGTAGTTAATTTGTAGCTATTTAAAATTAACATAAATCTGAGCGACGGAATTGGGTACCCAACGACTAGAACCGATGGAATAAAAAAACACTTGACAGATTTCATTTGGCGACTAAGAATCTTATCGTTTGTGCTTTATGTATATTATAAATAAAGTTAATATTTATTATAAAATTCGTATAAAAAATATTATATATGGTACAATGCTTTCTGTTTGTTAGCAAAAAATAGTAGTTAGTAATTTTATTTATATCTTTTATATGGAAATTTTTTTTTAACATGTACCGGATTCCTCTTTAATGTTTTTTCTTTCCATATAGCACACCGACATCGGAGTTGGCGGCGTTATGCAAATGCTCACACCCAAAGGAGGGAAAACAAGCGGAAAACCGAAGGGTTTTTGTGATTTCCTCGGAAAAGTGCGTGCGCAACTCTTTGAGGGGAAAACCCGCTCGTTTTTCCACTGCGCTGGTCAGTTTTTATTAGACCGCGAAAAATCAACAGTGGCCGGCTCGTCAGGGTGGTCCGCTTTCCGCTTTTCCGATCTGATCCTTTGCCGTCGAGCCGCCTTCCTTTCTTGTGTTTGGTCCTTGCGCGCACGCCGCTAAAAGGGTTTTATTGCAGCCTCCCGTAAAATGTAATGTCATAAAGTTCCGAAAGCAAACAGTGCAGCGAATTACACAGAGGAAAAATACTTGAAATTGTGGCAATAGAATTGGGGTAAGCGAATTTTCAAAGATTATTTTTGTATATATTTTTACATTACGTAGTCTACGTTCATAATGGGTATGTTTATCATATATATACTCAATTTCTTTTGTAACCTATCAAATACTGAAAAATCTCAATTGTAAAAATGTGTTGTTTGGCAACATTCACATATTTTTCTAAGTGCATGGTCTGGATACATTTGTTTGTCGCTTCGAGTGAATGAAAAGGGAAAGAGTTGCACTCAGCCTCCTTCTGCAGTTGCAGTTGCTGTTGCCTTCTGGGAATCATTTGCGCCCTCGACCTTCCGCTGACCCATCGACCTGGGCTAATTTACATAAACCTACGCAAACATCCCAGAAACAACAAACACCGCGATCCCGAAAGGGTGAGCCAATAGCCCAGATGTTGTTCTGCACCGAAAGAAACATATCTTCAGTGGTACTTCTCAACAAAACGTAATACTTGGCTAATTAAATAGCGATCTGTTGGTAAACAAAATTGGGGGCTTATTCATGCTCTCTTTACATACTAAAACTACTTTTATTTATAAGAAAAAACATTTGAATACCATTCAAATGCTAAGTTTACAATACCTACAATTATTTAATATTTTGGGAATTGAAATATTTTAAGACCCTTAACCCTTGTATTTTTTCGAATGTAAGTTATAGTTTTTGGATCCAATTAGAGCCCCGACTCCCACGCACGTGTTCTTTTTATTTGGCCCTGCACTTGTCGGCTCCCATCCCCCTAACTTTTTAGGGTTTTCTTTTTTTTCGGACGAGACCCTCTGACAGTTGCTGTTGTTACGGTTCACCATGACCAACGCCAACAATTACCGCCGCAATTCTATTGTCTCTCGATTTCCTGGGCCCCTGCACATGTAGGTATATGTATATATACGTATATTTTTTATAGCTCATTTCCCACATGTCGCGGAGTTTTGCCCTCTTCGGGAATGACACTTCGGAACCATTTTAATGAGCCCAAATTACTCGCTCACACACTGCGGAGGAGTTTGAACCTAAAAAAGACGAAGGGAAAAACACTGGATGCACATGTCCAGTCGATCGGGCGGAAGTTGCCATTAGCCGTTAACCATTATCCATTAACCATTAACCATTCACCATTCAGCAGTTGGCATCGATCCCCACGATCCTCATCGATCTGCGAAGACAAAACCAATTAAGGCTGTCAAACAAATTTTAAGCGCCATCGGAATTATGACTATTAATGAGGGTTCATTGTTTATGGCTCAATTTAGGGAGTTCAAAAAATATGAGAAACATTTTGACAAAATAAGTCAGGCATTCTGTGTTTAATTGCATTCATTTGCTAAGTTTTTCCCCGTAAAACTATATTAATATTTTCAAGTGAAGTAGAAAAACGAGTAGTGACCCATCATTTCTATTTCATGTCTTACAAGCTTATGAGTTTTCCTTATAATTTTTATTAAAAATGAGTAGTTTGTTGTTGCATTTTTTTTTAGTTGCAACAAAGTAAGGGTTATGTCTGCATTTAAGTCCAAGGCTTTTGATGTTCGTGTTTTCCGCCTTTCTTTTCGTTTTTGATTTTATTTTCCCTTACAAGTGGCCGGAATCCGTTTTACGAGCTCATCTGGCGGATCGTTTCGCACATTTCGCACAATCTGTAACTCGATTTGTGTATCTGTGAGGTAAACAAACTCAATCTCCATCCATGGGATGGACAAAAGATGCGACAGATATTTATGAATGAATGCGGCAACTTGTGTGCCTCCCCGAAACTCCGAGTCCCCGATTCGCATCTTAATTCAAAGGAGATGGCCATATGGATCATGGATAATGGAATGTCGTGTAACCCAAGAAGCTGCCTCACTTCTCTACGCTTCGTTTATCAGTTACATTACCATGCGGCATATCTCTCGGATACTTCCGCCTCGTAGTTTTTTACCTGGCGCTACTTGGGATTTCCTCGAGGACTCGTCCTCATCCTCGTCCTCCCCGTCTTCATCATTATTTTCATCGCTGCTCCCAGAGGAAGTTCCAATTTGCTACGTCAATGAACCATGGCCCTGATTTGCTCATCAAGTGCCTGTCCTCTCCTGTTCCCTGGGCTCTCATCGTCATTCGTCCTGGGCTTGTACATTTTTTTCTGTTTCTGTTTTTTTTTTCGAACCCCTCCCCAGGACCTTGTTCGCATTTCTTTATTCCTTTCGTTGGCTGGGTGCTTTTTTTGGGCCTGTGATTTCTGACACGGCGCTGACTGTCGGCTGTCAGCAAAAATCATCTTTGAATGAGGACGCCAGCTAGCGAGGGGAGCTTGTAAAGTTTCCTAAAGTTTATTTGTACTTTAAACTTGTTTTGTTTATAGAAAAAACTAAAAAGAAGAGCTTGTATAAATGTATTATTATATTATAAATTACAGAATTTTCATTTCGGTTAAAAAATAATATTGTTTGTCAGTTTCAGATAGGTTTTTTCTTAAAAATGGTTAGTCTACAGAATATTTTACTTGTTAGGTGATCTTAAAAATATCACTAAGCTGCTGGCAGTAAAGTTTGCTAGGCTTTAAATGTAAGCTTAATTTTCCAATTAATTTGATACAAATTAAATTTATTTTCAAACTCCTCGAAACGCCCTCGTAATATAATATCCTTGTTACATGTCTTGGGTTCTCCGTCTTTACTACTGTACAAAAAGCTGCGCCAAATTGTCTGTTTACATTAAATGCATAAATTATGCAGCATTTTATTTACTTATTTATGTTTGCCCTGCGAACAATCGCTTTGATTCCGCCACTTCAGCCAAAATGCCAAATGCATAAAATATGTCAGTCGGCCATGGGAATATATACATAGACAGTATACTGTATACAGTATGTACAAACACAACATTGTTCAATTTCATTTTGTATGCATTTCAGTGCTGCTGATGATGATTTTTCCACGGATATTCATGGTTGTTGCCTGGCTTTTGCCCATTTTGATGCCCTAATGATGATGTCTCTCAGTTTTGGGTCATTTGCCGGCGGGTCGGAAAAAAAAACCCTCCCCTTTTCGCCACTGTTTCTGGTGCTTCTGGGTTTCAATTTAACCACCGGGTCTACAAATCTCGTAAAGCAACCCCCCGAAACGATAGTAAAAGTTGACAGTTATGTGTTGATGACAATGTCGACAACGCCCAGCGAAAAACCCCTCCATCTATGCTACTATATTATATAGCCTCTCCCCGCTGACTTTTCCTCTCATCCCATCTTGGGTGGCGTGTTCTCGATGCTACTTAGTCGTGTAATGACCAACTTAGTAGGCACTGGGATCCAAAACAAAAATCACTACAACGTACTTTGTTTTTTAATTTATGATTTTAAAAAAAAATCTCATTTAATTGTTTTGTTCTCCATAATACAAGCTAATAAATATTTGTACTTTTATGTAAAGAATAAATAACGGTACTCCACACCCTCATATTTAAATTTTTAAGGATAACTTTCCTCTTTGTCGGCATGATTAGCGATTCTTTTTTGGGTGTCGCAAATTTTCCAGCTAACGAATTTCCATAGTTTTCGTGTGTGTTCCGCCGTCTTCAAAGGGCTGCCGACCCAAAATATTTTCATTAGGCGTTAATTATGTTTGAGCCAAAATATTTCGGGCTTCCGTGTAACTGAGCGAAAGGACATGGCAGGACATTTGTACATCGGCATGATTTGCATTTTCGCAGTGACCACGGCACTAATGACTGCAAATGCATCCTCCGTTAATATATTTTTTGCCAATCATCAGGAGACGAAAGGGTGGAACGAAAATAGAAACCAGAATCCCGAATCCCCCGAAAGGAAGTTGCCCGCCAAACGTAATTTATAACCAGGCGATTCCAAGGTCCTGACAATGCAACTGCAAACTGCAAACTGCAAAGTTGCAAGGCAGACTTTAAATGATTTTCTTCTATTTTTTTTTTTTTTTTTTTTTTGGGGGGGGAAGAGCGAACAGAAGTTGGCACTGGAATTAAAACGAAAAACTGCAATCCACCCTGTCATTAGATGGCATCAATTGTTCGGTACCGACGCACAAGGGACTCAATGCCAAAGGACCAAAGGACGAAAGGACTCCTTTGTCCTGGAATCGTACGGAATTGAGCGAACGGGGCTCGTTGACAGGGGGATATAAATGTTGTGATTTCTTAATTTTTGTTTGCATTTTTCTCGAATTTAGTAGGCTGTTGAGGTAATTACACTAATTATATGGCCCTGGTACCAATTTAGGGGTAGTTCCCCCGATCCACACCCCTGCCGAGGTCATCGAGAGCTGTGTCAAACGGCACTAGACCCCGTATATCACATTCCGAATCGGAATCGGAAGCGGAGAGCGGGAACACTCGAGTGGGATTTTCCACGCGGGTGTTACGTCTCCGACACCTTTTAAAGAAATACTTAACTAATTTAGGGGTTGTTTCAACTAAACTATGCTTATAATTAAAATACTTCTCAGTATTATTAAAAACAAAACAGTTTTAGATGTGTTTAATAAATTTTAAATCTTTAAAAACAAAATTACATTAACATATATTCGTAGTGAGTCCCTCAAAATTTAAGGAAGTATATTTAACTTTTTATAAAAAAATTTCCATAATGGGCCATATATAAAGAATTATTTTTGGTTTTACACAATAGTTAACCTTGTTTAATACTTTTTTTGATATTGTCACTTTTTATCTTCCAAATTTTTTCTGAAACTCAGAGCTCATCGATTTAATGTTCTCGGAGTGGTACTGCACGTTTTCTTTCCACATTTCATTAGGTTTCTAGTTGCCACACGAGTTAGATCAAAAAAAATCACAAAATTTTAGTCAACTCCACACGATTCCTAAATTATTTTAGAAATATTTTAAAGTGAAAACGATGCAGCCCCAAAGAGATTTGTGCAAGTGTTTCATAAACATGTCTCGTTGCATGCAACAAGGTGATTTCGCGAGTTCCTAAAACTATTGGCTTTCCCAAAAGACTGTTTTTTTTTTTTTAATAATAAATGAGTGCTTTTCTTTAGCTTGTTTCTACAGCACTAGACGTCAATTGCTTCTCAGAAATATTCGGAAGCCGATTGCCTCCGAGAAAGTGGCGGTGAGAACTGATGAAGTCAGTAGGCGTGGCATTCAACCGGGGGAACGCCTTCCATCGGCAGTTAGTATCGTGAGCAGGACCTTTTCAGAGCAGCACAAATCAGCTAAGAATGAAGTAAATACGGCATTCGCTCGATATGAACAATCAATGACCGATTTGGCCGCTAGTGCCCGCAAGATGTATAAGAATGCGCGATTGAGGAACGGCGCTGATCAATTGAGCGATTTAAAAAAATTCGGTAAAGTAACACATTAAACAACTACTTTGATTTAATTTATTAATTTTAATTTATTTGCAGTTCCCTTCGAATTGAGACCTTATAAATCCCAGGAAAAAGTCGCTTGTCCTATAACCGAACGGCTTAACAAGTTGTTCTTTTGCGAACCTTCGGATTAATAAGAGGTCAAACTTGAAGCGCTTTCAAATCGGTTTTGGATATCTTGTCGATGCTTTTGTGGCAAAGAAAACGAACTTTTTTTTAAACTTTGTAGCGTTTTTAATATGCCATAGTAATTTGTATATATAAAAACTCATTTGTTTTATTTTTGCTCACTTGTCAACAGGAAAGAACTCTTATTTCAAAATAAACAAGAAAGGAAGCTAGCTTCGGCAAGCCGAAGCTTATATACCCTTGCAGTCATCAAATATGTCGAACAAAACGCATAAAGGCTAGACAACATCGAAGCTAAGACGATTTTTCTATTCATTTTCCATATTTTTGACTATAGATCATATGGGAGCTATACGATATAGTTGTCCGATTTTGATCAAATTTACCTCGTAATTCAAGAGTCGTAAGAACACTCTATATTCCAAAAATCATACTTGTCTGATGAAAAACAACGATTTTATCAATTTTTTTCCATTAATTCTATATATAATTTTCGATCCCTCCTATGGCAGCTATATGATAGAGTTATCCGATTTTGATCAAATTTAATCCGAAATTCAATAACAGTTAGAAAACGCCATCTTGAAGAATTCAAGTCGATCTGATGAAAAACAATAGAGTGAGAATTTTTTATTTCATTCTCTTGTATTGGAGCTATCCGATATAGTCGGCCGATCCGGCCCGTTCCGACATATATACTGCGTGCAACAACTACACAACTTTTGGGAAAGTTTCAGCACGATAGCTTTAAAACTGAGAGACTAGTTTGCGCGGAAACGGACAGACGGACAGACGGACAGACGGACAGACGGACAGACGGACAGACGTACATACATATTTCGATTCTGCTCGTGATGCTGATCAAGAATATATATACTTTATGGGGTCTGAGGTGTCTCCTTCACTGCGTTGCAAACTTCTGACTGAAATTATAATACCCTTTTGCTCTGCAAGGGTATAATAAGGCATTTTAATTTATTATAAAATAAAAACTTCGTTTTTTATGTTCTAAATATATTTTTTATGACTTGTATAAAATGTTAAAATACAATTTAGTCTACTTCTTCATGAGAACCCTGAAATGCTCTGAATGGCTAATACTTTGTATATATAAAAACTCATTTGATTTATTTTTGCACACTTGTCAACAGGAAAGAACTCTTATTTCAAAATAAATAAGGCATTTTAATTTATAATAAAATAAAAACTTCGTTTTTTATGTTCTAAATATATTTTTTATGACTTGTATGAAATATTAAAATACAATTTAGTCTACTTCTTCATGAGAACCCTGAAATGCTCTGAATGGCTAATACTACAAGTTGTCAAGTCGAAAACTCAGCTGCCGATGAGGATGAATATGAAATGATATGATCCCATTCCTCCAATTTATACGGTTATACGCGGAGGTTTTCGAAATGCTTTCTACGAAAAAGTGGAAAGTTATTGAGAGTTAATTCCTTATATGAATATAAAGTTACTCTAAAATTTTGAAAAACTTTTCCCTTCGTTTTGAGTCGCTTTTAGTAAATTCGTTTTTTGCCAGCGGTCAATTTCAAGCAGGCTGATTCCTTGGTGTATTCCGTCTCCGTTCTTTGTTTGTCCATTTCCATGGCTCGGGATTTGTGCAGCTCCATCGCGGTCTTGGCCCACTCACTTCGTGAATCCGGCTTCTCCACATCAATTTGGGCCGATTTACTGCTCGATGGCAAAATTTCCGAATAAGACGAGCTCTGAGAATTGGGCACGTTCTGGAATGCAGTGGGAAATCGTTTAATCAATACATAAAAACATTAATCACTTGTATTTCCATTATTATATACTTTTGAATAATAGTTAATTAGTGTTCAAGTCAATCATTTATAGAAATATTGAAGTAGACTCAGCAGATCTACGACTATTATAATTTCTGTTGTATATAGAGTATATTATGCATTTAATTTAATCACTCACCTGGATAACTTTGTTGGTCAACCATTGAGGCCTTTGCATGTACCTCTGCTGCTTGTTGTTTCCGGTGGCCGCCAAAACAGTGGCGGATACCCAGGGACCCGGCTTGGGGATCTCCTCGGTTCGCACGGGTGCGTACTCCATGGGAGTCTCTTCCTTGACCGGTTCCCTCTCCACGAGCACTTCCTTTTTGGTCGTCTGACGATCGTGCTCGTCCTGAATTCGTTGGTCGATCAACTCCTGCTCTTGCATGAGACTCTGCATCTTGTTCTGAATCTTTCGCCGCTCTTCGATTCGGCGAACTTTGTCCAGGGCACTGGTGATTTCCTCCGAATCGGAAGTTGCGTCGGAATTGGCAGGCTGATAGCCACGGAGGCTGTTCTGCTTATATGGGGAATAATTTGTATTTTAAAATTTGTAATATATGCATTTTTTCTTATTACACGCACCTGCTCTTTGGCTCTAACTCTGGACTTTTGCCACAGTTCGTGGGAACGACTGTTTTCCAGATTCAGTGTGGAATACCGCTTCTTGTCCTGCCCATCGACGTTGTTGAAATCAGTGATCCTCTGGAGAGTTGGCCAGTTGAAGTTATAGGTACCTTGATTCAGTGGCGGACGCTTTACGAACTTTGCCTTTCTTCGGGAAAATCCCGAAATTTCGCGACACAAAATACCAAACGACTCTGTAAAGGGCCGGGTTTCTAAAAAAAAAAAAACAAGAAAAAAACATTAAAACCAAAACGAAGGTATGCAAATTTGTGTCGACTGTCAATTAATTTTATTTAATATTGTTTCTAGCAAAAATTCAACTTATTTTGTATATTTTCAAGAATTGACCATTGACTTGGTGTTCTGCGTTGATTAGCGCACCTATAAACACTTTGGTTCTTACTTAAAACTTTTAATCCTCGACGGAACATTATTATTTCAGAATATAAAACCGATTTACAAATTTTGGTGTGTGACAAACCGAACACTTTCTTACTGTACTGAAATAAAACTAATTTCTGCTGCGAATGCAAAGTCTATGGCTCCTTGGTTTTTAGTTTCTCCCCTTTAGGTTTTACAACACTTTTTTGTAGGTTTGTAAAAAACGATTGGCGTACAAACTATTATTGCACACTATTTAATCCTAAATTTGTAAAATCCAGTGATTGCATTATAATCTCCCCTCTCTTTTCCATCTAACACCTCATTAGCAGCCGCACATTTTACGATACGCTATTTTCGCTGAGGATCCTACGGTTACATCATCGAAACCTGGGCCATAAATCCTGATCCCAAGGCAATAAAAAGATTCGCGTTTTTTCTCAAATTTTTTTTCGCTGTAAACTAGCGAAGAAAAAAACTGAGCTACAGAACTAAAAAACTGAACTCAGGACTCACCGTAACCAAGGCAAATTTCGTTATTTTTTGTTTGTTCGCGGCGATTTTTTTTATTATTTGATTTACAGTCTCAGTTCGCCGATTGCGTTTTGCGTAATGTTGTGTCTAGAGTTTTTCAATATTTCCCTGGAATTCTGCTTGCCTTTTTATGACGCGTGGATATATCCTTTTTGTGCATCGCTTTTTTGTGTTCATTTTTTCCTCCAGTTGCGTGCAGTTCCAGTTTTTTAGGCTGACACGCGAGGATCCTCGTTCGCAGAAGGATCCTGGCCTGGATTTTTATGGCTTACGCAATCCGAGACGATGGTCCCAAATATCCTTAGCCGTAAATCCGTCCAGGCAGAAGGCCATCAGCAGCTGCCCGGAAAAGTGTGCGCAAAAAAATAAAGACTGCATCGAAAAGTGAAACCAATTTGCGAACAAAAAATGATATCAAATATCAATTGTAATCAAGTAAATGTTTGTTGATTCAATAATGAGTCTTAAGTACGAATTGTTTGTATATGTGTCTATATTTGGAATAATTTTATAAAAACTAATGGTTCGATTGCTGTTTTCAAAATCCAACAAGGCCCATCTATTTTTACCCGTGAACTTGGAAAAAATTCGCAAAAGAACATACATATTTGTATTTGTATCCCCGGGCTCCCCGTCGATTTGGCAAAACAATGCGGGGTCCTCGAGTTCCTTTCTGTTTTCCTTGGCTTCCGGGGTGGCTTCCTTGGATTCCGATTCGCAGCTCGGCTCATCCATTGACTTTTGTGTCAAATTGAGTTATTCGCAATGCACATGGGCAGATTTTGATAATGCTTCACTGAATTGATATCCTGTTGCGTTGTTTGGACAAAAATATTTACCCAACTCATAATTGAAGAGTCTGCAATTTTTGCGCCATTTGTGCATGTCCTGGTGATCTCGATCCTGATTCTGCTTTTTCGGGGCACCCCACGTGGCAGTTGGCTGCTTGATTATGTTGTCGAGTGTCCTGCCGAAGTCCTGCGGAAATCTTGTTTAGTCACCAAGCAAATTCCTGCTGCCCTAATTGTTGTCATCAGGTGAGGTGTGCATAGAGTGTGTGCGTGTGTGTGGCAAACGGGGAAAAGACCAGAATAACCAACATTCATTCCTGGCCAAGAACACTCGAAGGACCCGAGGTGCAGGGCCACCTGCGTTGGCTTTGTCCTCGATTCTGGCCATTAACTAATGGCCAAAAGGAGCACAAAAGAGTTTGGCCAATTTGGGTGGCATCTGCCGATGAAGATGTCGTTTTTTCATGAATGGCAACCACTCTCCTGTGGAGTGGTTCTATAAAAGTTAAGGAACATTCGAAAGTGCACTTGAAAAGTCAAGGAAGTACACAGAAAATTGTACAATGTATGAAAAAACAGAATACGAAAGATGACAACATTAATCTAAGTATACGTTTTCTTTATAATGTTCAAAATTTGTCAAAAATGGATTTGCAGTAAAGTGACTAAATTCAGGCACTTTTGAAGGCATAGCTAATCTAATTCTTATCCGATCTATGAGTGGTATATCTCGTTGAATTTGTAATAAAAATATCCATCAAACAGCATTAAAGCATTATTAGTTTATTTTCCATTTTTTTGGTCGATGTTTTGTCGTATTTTATGACGCTTCCTTTCAAAAGTTGCAAAGTGTTCCCAGTGTTTTGTTTGATGGAGATGTGGATTTACGGAAACTGTGACTTAAAGCACATATATATATATATATATATATATCCACCGTATCCCTGACTGATTCGGATGTCGCTCCGGTTATCTTGAGCGATTTTTCCACGACTTAGACTTGGCATATCTGAAAATCAAACAGATAAATTGCCGGCATTTTCCGCTCACGTGTGTGTTCGCCTCACATAACCCCTTTTACAACCCCTTTTTATTTTGGTGGTGCTCCGGTTTTCTGCGCTTTTTTTCAGCCATGAAAATAAATTGGCATTATTAGGCGGAGCGGCTCAGCGAAAATTGATTATTGACAAGAGTCGCATTAAGCGGCGTTTTATGAGCCAAACGGAAAAAAGTGCAGAATCCCAGCATTAAGGTTCGTAATGCGGTTCGAGCTGTCCTTGAAAAATCCCAGGACACCCCCGAAAAAAACACAAAAAAGGGTGGGGAACTCTGTCTGCGATTTTTATACCCTTGTCGGTGATATATTGTGAGTTTTTGTGGGAGCTGCAAAGAGTTATGAAAGTTGAATATTGTTTTGAACTTATAGTCAAAAATGGATTTGAATGGATCGAATGGATCGAACAGTTAATAATTATGTTCATGTTTATTTCAAAAATAACAAAAAACAGATATAGGGGTACCGCAAATTAAAACCATTAAATAATTACAAGTATTCTAAAAATATTGTACGAAAATCGAAAAAATAAACCTATTTTAACACTCGGAAAAATCCTTAGAATAACAAAGGAAATTCCAAAGTAAATTTAAAGGGTATTTAAAATTTCGGCACCTGTGATTAATTTGTTTAACCCTTTCTTTTTACTTATCGCCTGCATTAATTATGAGAATCTGTCGCCTGTGCGACTGAAAGGGGTGTGAAAAACTTCTTAAAGTTTCCGCATGCATAATTGAACAGGTCGTACACTTAAGGGCCCCCGCATAATTAATTTCAATTACACTTTCGAGTTGAGAAAGCCTCCCCAGTTCGCTTCGGGTGCGAACGCTCAAACCATTTTCCATTTCCGCGATTTTCACGATTTTCCCGCACTGCAGTGCTACCTGCGTCTAATTTCGTTTTAATCCTTTCGCTAGCTGTACGCCACTAATCCGGCCGAATTTTACGGGTGCCGGCGGCCAAGGGACAATGGCATCATCTATAAAGATGACAATTGCAAACAACAATGACGACAATCGCGGCAAGGACAAACAGTAGTGTGTACTCCTTTTTTCAGGACCGATACCCTTTTCCCCGACACTTTTCCCTTTTGCCGGACACTCGGTCACTCCTTTTGCCGCTATTCATAATTAGTTGCAGGCAATTAAGGCAGCCCCCGCGGTCGCGAGCAAGGACATTCTCGCCCGCCCACCACACACACGCACTCACACACCCACACACACCACACACACGAAACACGAGAATCGAAATCGAAATCCCAGGGATATGGGATATGGGTCAACTAGGACACCTAGAAATCCTGGGCGTTGCCCCTAGCACTTTTGCAATTTGTTTACGAGTATTTTGAAAACACAGCCGCACCCCTTTCGCCCAGTGATCCCCGGATTCAGGATTCAGGATTCAGGATTTCGCATTCCGCATTCCGCACTCGGCATCCCTAATCCTTTGACTTTGCCGTTGACTTTCGCTCTCCCAAGGATCGACGCTAGTCCGGCTTTCCGGAAAGTGTGGCTTACTTTGGTTCCGCTCGGTCCTACGTTCCAAAACTCGGCAATTAACGCGGGTCCTTCGCCCGAAGTCCGAAGTCGATATCCTAAGTCCGAAATCCCAATTTCGTGGGTGGGCACCGAGCAAAAGGGTTTAGTTTTAATTAGCTGACTTTGGACGCGCCTCATCGGAATGGTCACCGAAAATTGGAAAAACGAGAGTTACGGGGCGGGGCGATTAGGGAAGTTTCAAAACATTCAAATCGAAGCGAAGTCAGTGAAGGTTTTGGGGTTTTTTGGTCAATATATAATGGTAAAATAAGTATGCTTTGACTGTATTGACAAACTGTTTAAAAAAAAGTAATATAAATATATATCAGTAAAAGTAATTTCCTTAAAATATTAACAACAACATTGAGAGGCATTCATCAAAGTAGTCATTGATGAAAATAATTCATAAATTTACTTAAATATAAACACTTTCCGGAGCACTTCTCTTAGTATAATTAATTTAACCCTTCTCGGCAGATAAAACTCCCGCCGCTTTCACTTAATTTGGTGATTAAGTTTTATTAAATGTTGCAACTGGCAAAAACCAGGAAATGCCGCGTAATCCCCCTTCGCCAGAAGCAAAAACCCCGGAAAAACAAAAAAAAGAAGTAAAACCGAAACGAAACCTACCGAGGACCGAGTGTCAAATTAATTAAAATGTCAGCGAAATATGTTCAATTGTCGGCTGGTCAGATGGATGGGATCGAAATCGGATTCGGAATTGGGAATCGGGCTTAACTTCGGCTGGCTGTCAAACAGTTTTTGGCAGGACGACCGGAAGGAAAAGTCGGAAAATTGCTAAAGAGACTGAAACGAGATAGAAAGAGAGAGAGCGAACGCCCTAAGCAGCGGGTTTTCCCAAAAACGGGGATCCTCTGTTGTCATATTTTCAATTTTGCAATCTGGCTGTCACTCATTGTCCGACTTTGTCCGATTTTCCGGGTGTGCTGGTGTTTGGCAATCTCATGCTCATTGCCATTTTCCTTTCCCCTATTCCTGCCCGATTTTCCGATTTCCCGTTCCCCGTTCCCCGCTTACCATTTCCCATTTCCCGCAACCCCCATCAAAATGTCCTGTGTGTTTTGTGTGCCCGTTAATGTGCATTTGACATTTGGCGAAATGAGAATCTGGGCAAATGATACGGATTTATGGCAAATTTGTCGAGCGATTTGTGTCGATTTACATGAGTGCCAAAGCCAAGTGGCCACTCAAGCCT